AACAACTGAACAATAGCAATAGCCTTATAACCTTGGACAGACAGAACAATCAGCTTTAGTACAACCTAACTGGTAAGGAGTGTGGTAGAGACTTGAGAAGGTAGATGGGGTGCTCACAGGCAGCAGCCCCAGCTGGATATGGAAACGGCCAGTTGGATCCCCCTGAGAAGAGAGGCACCTAAACCATAAGCAGGGATCTCCAGCCTACAGCACCAGAACCCAAAAAGTATACAGATAACAGCCAGCTGTGAAAGCGGCAGGGTTGCTCTCTGCCAGAGACCGGTGGCTAGATACGCAAAGAGCCGTTTAAAGGGCCAACGCATAAATTTTTATTTGCAGCCACTTACCCTGGGCTCCGGCCAAGGCGGGGTACAGAGTGGGCTAGTGACACCTGAAGAGAGATTGGGGAAGGATATTCTGGGGAGAGAACTGAGAGAGTATCCAGCAGGACCCCAGTGCTGACTCATCCCCCATGCAGCAGCAGCCATCTTGCTCAGGCAGACCACTCCCCTGAGTGGCAGCAGCATGAGAGTACCCAATAACCCCGCCCCCAGGAAGGACTCTACCCTGCCCTGTGGTGTCTTTAAGCCAGTCTGCCAAGTGCAGAGTGACTAGATTAACAGCTGAAGGAGTCTGCCACGGACAGTAGATTCCTGAAAGTCTCAAACAGACTGCCTAAGGTCAGACAGAGTCAACATCTGACATTATCAGAGGCATATACAAAAAGGAAAAACAGTGGTCTCCTACCATAGAGGTTCACACCACAAAGTCAGGAAATCAAGACAGATCAATTTAAGAAGTAGAAGCAAAAGAGAAGAGCCTCACAAATAATGGGAAAACAAAGAAACACCCCCCAGTCAAAGGGAAAGGAGGAATCCCCAGGAAGAGAACTAAATGAAATAGTGGTTATTAAACTATCGAGGAAGCTCAATGAGCTCAGTGAGCTCAGAGAGAATTACCAAGAACTACAGGGAAACTATGAGGAACTTACTGAAAACTATATCAGCATGAAAAAAAGGACAATAGAAACTATCAATAAGAGACAAGAGGAAATGAAAAATACAATTTCTTAATTGAAGAACACAGTAGAAGGAATCAAAAGCAGGCTAGATGAAGCCAAGGATTGAATCAGGAGGCTGGAGGACAAGGTAGAAAAAAGCTCCCAGAAAGAGCAAGAAAAGGAAAAAAGACTCAAAAAGAATGAAGAGGCATTGAGGGAAATGCAGGACAACATGAAATGTAATAATATCCATATAATAGGGATACCAGAAGGAGAAGAAGAGGAACAAGGGATAGAGAGCCTGTTTGAAAAAGTAATGATGGAAAATTTCCCTAATTTGAGGAGAGAAAAAGTCACACAAGTCCAGGAAGCACAGAGAGTCCCATTCAAGAGGGACCCAATGAGGCCCACTCCAAGACACATCATCATTAAAATGGCAAATATCAAAAACAAGCAGAGAATCCTTAAGGCAGCAAGGGAGAAACAAGTAGTAACATACAAGGGAGCACCAATATGGCCAGCAGCTGACTTCTCAACAGAAACACTACAAGCCAAAAGGGAATGGCAAGAAATATTCCAAGGAATGCAAAGCAAAGGCCTGCAACCAAGACTGCACTACCCAACAAGGCTCTCAATTAAAATGGAAGGCAAAATAAGGGGTTTCCCAGGCAAAAGAAGGCTAAAAGAATACATCTCCGCCAAACCAGCACTGCAAAATATGCTAAAGGAACTGCTTTAAGAAGATGAAGAAAAAGAGTCTATGAATACCCAGATCCTTTCACGGTCACCAATATTTGATATAACCAATATTTTTAATACTTATTAATCTGATTGTGACCTTGATGTGTTATTTTAATTGTTACTTTATTATTTGTTAAAGCTAAATCTGTTTTGTATATTTCTTGCCTATTTCTATTATTTTTAAAAAGCTTTAAATGATTTTTTGGTATTCTTTATCCATTTTTTGATTAAATACTTATAGAATTTTTGCCCTAAAAAAAAATTAACCTTTTATTTATATGTGTTGCAAATATTTTCCTATTCTATTACTTGTCCTTTAACTATTTGTATATGTATATTATTATATAGTCTTAAATGTTTAATATGATCATATTGTCAATATTTTGCTTTATAGCTTCTGGGTTTGAATATGTTACTTCAGGGTGAAGAAAAATATTATTTTGAATTTTCTCCAAAAACTCCTTTGATTTTACATACTGATTTTAAACTCACCTGAATATATTTTGTATAATGTGTGAAATAGGGCTCTGTATTTGTTTTATTTCAAGTAATAGTGGTCCATGCACCTTATTTGTTAAATAATCCTCATTTCCCCTATTGATCTGAAATATCAATTGAATCATATATTACATTGTTAGACAGATATATACATTTGTTTCTAGAATTCTCATTTTATTTCATTGATCTATTTGATTATTTCTGTGCTGGTGTCATGTTTTAATTGCCAAGACTTTATAATGGATTTAAATTTTTAATATTTTATAATGGATTTTGACATTTAAAAAAATAAATAAAATCAATTTGTATTGGAAAAAAGAAAGAAAGAAAGAAGGAACTCCTACCTTTTGCGACATCATGGGTGGAACTGGAGAATATTATGCTAAGCAAAATAAGCCAGTCGGTAAAAGACAAATACCATATGATCTCACCTATAAGTGGAATCTATTCAACAAGATAAACTAACGCACAAAATATATCACAGGCAAGGAAACATGGAGCAGACTGAAAGTGATCAGAAGGGATGGGGAAGGAGGACAATGGTGGAAAGAAGGGGAAAGGACTAGACAAAACATGTGTGAATGACCCATGGACATGGACAACAGAGTGGGAATTGACTGTGGGAGTGGGGGTGAGGGATGGGATGGGTGGAGGAGGGCAAAGTTGGGGAGGAATTGAGACAACTGTAATAGAATAAATATGAAATTTTAAAAATAAAATTTCAAAAAAAAGAAATAAACTCAAGTACTATTTAAAAACATTCCTATAAAACAACTACAGCATAGATGGTTTTACAGGCAAGTAATATAAAACTTATAGTAGATCATTTCACATTTATTCAAGGAAGTGGCCATAAAAATTTGTATAATCATTTTTTAAAAGAGATTAACATTATCTTTTAAATTTAAATCCTTACATATTAGATACAAGTTTCAGCAATTCTCCTTCTAGAAGACATATACAAGAATGCTTACAGCATAGTAAAAACACAAAAACCATAAAAACTGACAATTTGTAAGACAGAGGATATATAAACTGCAATGTATGCACACAATGTAATTCAGCTGTTGAAATGAACTACAATGAAATACAACAATCTGAACAAATGTTAGAAGTATAACATTAAGTATACAGTGTATCTTTTATAAAATTAAAAATATTTTTTAATGAATTGGGTCAAGATGTTAAACAAAAAAAAAAGTAACTTCCACAGCTGAAGTATTCTGTGAAAGTAAAGTTTAATTGAGTCAGATGCCTGTGAAAAAAAGAGCAGTCTTGGGGCATGGAGTCCAAACCACCAGCTCGGCAGGAAAGACAGCATGTACATTACCCAGGAGTTTGCAAGCATTTTTGTACATCAAGTAAGGGGACAATGGATGTAAGCTGCCTGAAAGAATGTACACTAGCTATAGACGAAGAGGTAGGAGAAGATGAGGTGGGATAGAGGGGTGGAGCAGGCAGCTCTAGGACAGGGGCAGAGTCCACAAAAGGAAATACCTCCTCCTATGGGTTCGTCGTAGGCAGCAGTCTGGAAAGCCCATATGTAAACAAGGCTCCTGGAGTTGGGTGATGCCTGGCTGTAATTTGTAGAAATAGCCACCTGCAAATTAATCCAAAATTCCCACAGGCAATAGAAGGAATATGAGCAGTCTTTTGTCGGAGCTGGTCCACATCTCTTACCAGGTTAACTGTTCTGCCTTTTTCTCTCACTCTCTGGCCCCTGTAATTTAATTTAAAGTATCTCAGAATTTTCTCCTTGTCAGTTAAAACAATTAAACAAGAAAGGAAAAAACAATAATTAAAATAATTATTAAATAAAATATATAATAGAAGGATAGATATACTTAGAGGGATAGACAGATGAGCACATAACGAGGACCATAGGGATTAAAGATGAGAGTGTACCATGGACCAATGATTATGATAATTCCATTGTATTCACTAGGGTTCTTACAAAGAAGAAAAAAAGGAAATAAAGATCATATACTGAAAAAACTGTAGCAACAGCTAAATGTAAAGGTAGAAGGTATTCTTCTCCCTGCCTACAAAATCTGTAATGCCAAGAACCATGAGATCCTTTGGGTTCCTATTTTTTTAACATCCTTTTACCAATTGACTGTGAATCCACAGAGCAAGGAAGGAAGGGACTGGAGATCCCCTGCATGGGCCCATGAACATGAGGGGCCTTTTGGTAAGAATGGCTCAGGGCTCAGAGAGTAGTAAGGTGGCATCAGAAGAAGGTCACTGTCCACAGGTCCTGGGAGGAATCCCTTTCTGTGGAGTCTAGCTCCGTGACCTTGGATCTTAAGGTCATGGAGAGGAGCTTATTGGAGGCAAGGGGTAGAAACTAGTGCCTTCCAGAAAGCTCAGGGGAGGGTTGGGATTTTGGAGGACCCTCAGAGTGAGTGAGGAAGCTGGAAGGGAGATTGAAAATTGTGCTGAGTTTGGGGCGGAGAGGGTAGGTCACTGGTAAATGACTCTAAATGAAAAAGGAATAATAAAGACCAGTGCACAATATGCGCAGAAAATAGATTTATTGTCACTTCAAGAAAAAAATCAGAGGAAATTCAGACTGTCTAGCGAACAGTTGGAATAACGGATCAAACAAATATCTACTATTAAAATATATCAAGTTTCCTTGGACTGTTTCAGCCTCCAAGTTGCAGGAAGGAGAGGGGTGAAGAGAAAGCATTAGGCTGGAGCAGGCCCGTGATTATTTGCATATTCCTCTGTTGCTCCTCCGTGGTCTTGAGGGCCCAGCTTAGCGGCAGCCCCTAGAGCTGTCACAGCACCTGGAGCTCCCAAAGGGCTCACAGTCATTGCCGCCAGGACTCTGGTACTGGCACAGATGAAAGAGATGAGGCTTGTAAGTGGCCCAAGCAGCTCCTGCCACGCCCAGAGGTGGAGGAGACTGGAGCTGGGCATGGGGCTGGGCACTTGAGTGGCACTTTGAGAGACATTTGGGGGTGGGGCAATTGGGAGAGCACTTAGGAAGGGGCTGGCACTGCTGCTGGTTCTGCTGGCAGGACATCTCAGCTGCAGTTAAAGCAAACTTAAAGCAAAATGAGAACCAAATAAAATGCATCGAGCACAGAATAAGAATATTTTTAATTCTCAACCAATCATCACTATGCAAGTCAAGTGTTTGTAAAGCGTATTCTCATTCTAGAACAGAAGTCCCATTAATGTGTTCAGTTGACGTATTAGTTCTGCACATAGAATGTATGCTACAGACAAAGGTTGGTTTGTCACCATTTTATCCACAGGCCTCTACCTACAAGATGAATTCACAATTAAGCTGAGGCCTATCTTCTTTATTTTTTTTTAATTTTTAAAAATTTACTGATTAGAGAGAGAGAGAAAGAGAAACATCAATTTGTTTTTCCACTTATTTATGTAAACATTCGTTGATTCTTGTATGTGCTCTAATGGGGAATCAAACCCACAATCTTGGCATATCAGGACAACACTCTAACCAACTGAATTACCTGGCCAGGGCCCCATCCTCTTTAAATGCATCAAGTGTATGTGTGAAATCTGCCCAGGGGACAATTTACAGGGACTTGGAGGGGTTTCTCCCTCTCCCCCAAGCACCGTGGTCCCCAGGGTTGATTCCTACTCTCCACATACCTCCCTCTATGCTTCCACCCCTGACCCCTCCTCTTCACTCTCTCATTATTTCATCCACCGTATTTAGGATTTTCTCCATCAACCCAGAGTCCTCACTTGGGCTTGCATAGACTCACCAGGACCTGACTCAAGTGAGTTCAGGTTCCTGAGGTATCAGAGAGAATGAGGAAAAAGGGCTCAGAGACCTTTTATAGGAAGTCCCAGCATGGACTCAGAGGTGGACCTGCCTCTGGGAGGAGCAGGAGCAGCTCTTGGACAACCAAAGAATGCGTGGGGCCATTCTCCACATTCCCCTCCCCATAGCCTTCTCTTTCCCAGAAAGCCATAAAAGCACCCAGAGTTCTCACCTGTGCCCCAAAACTGGACGGCCCTTCAGCAAGTCACATCCCTTCCCTAAGATGAGCCTCCGATTCCCAAGAGCTATGATTCCCAGGAAGCTGGTCACTGGGCTGAGGCTCCAGGGTTTCGGGTCACCATGTGTCAGGCCCTTCCCATGAGATGGGTGGTCATACTTTTCACCCCCGGCTTTGTGAGGAGAATAGAATGAGAGGAGTAGGAATGAGAGGACAGAGAAGATTAAGCAAACTTTTCAGGAAGAACTGATGTTTCTTTGTATGGATACAGTAGAGAAAATGGATAAATCCAAGATTATCAAGACGTCAAGTCTCATGACCAGGGAAATGACTGTGTGATGGAGTGAGAACAAATGCTGGGCAGGGGGGAATATGGATTTGAGTTCCTAGGCAAGTATTCAGGTGGAGAGACTTAGGAGACATTTATATACCAGCCCAGAGGTAATTAATTCCCAGGTAAAAGACACTTAGAGACTCTCTTCGCTGTGGCATTATTAGTATTTATATATACATCCAATCACTTTATTTATTTAAACAACCCAGTGTGTCAGGTTTTCTGCTACACACCAGGAAAAAAAGGACTGTGTTTCTGTACTCATTGGGTCTCATATTCTGATGGGATCCTATTGAGGTAAAACTCCAAAAGCCTAAATTTCATATTTATTCCAAAGAACTGGACCAAAAACAAGTGCAAGGTGAGGGTTGTTAGACTATCTGCAAGCTCTATGATCCAAATAGTTTCTTCTTTCATTCATTTCCTTCCCCAGTTCAATCTTTCAGGCACCATAGAGCTCCTTACTCAAGAATGTAGAGAAAGCAGTCTCAGGTATCAGAAGGAAGACAAAGACAGTTCTCAGTGCCAACCAGAGAAGGACCTATGTGGGGCAAATTATAGGCTCAAATGGGCAGAGATTCTGATAAGAGTGGCTATGCCTATGATGCATCAGTCTCTTTCTTTCCATCCCCAAGGCTACCAGCCACAGCCCTTGTTTATCTCCTGAAATAGAAACTGGTTCGGTGGCCTCTGCCTGTGCACTTAGCCCAACAAACAAATCCTCCATGCTGTAAGAGTGATCATTTAGGTTTCTTTAGCAATCAACTTTAAATTTGTAAAAATAATTTGTGGCCAAAGTAAAATAGCTGTATATTATTGGAAAACAGAAAATAGGTTAATTATCCCTACATGTGCCACAACCCAGGTAATAGTACCATTGACATCCTTATTCATTGGTCCCGGAGAGCATCTGGCATTCAGCTGCCTCCCAACACATATTTCTACTTTCCCTGGACTTAAGTAGCCTTTCTCACCTTTCTCTCCATTGTTATCCTGGAATTATCAGAGTAATTCTGCGGCAGGTTAACACACTAAAACCAAAGAAAAAGCATGGCACCACACTAATAGAATTCAGGTGTCTTAGGGCCCCAAGACAGTTTCACTTGCAGAAAATGTGTATATGGATAGAGATTTAATGCATCTCAAAAAAAAAGCATGAAATATACTTTGTTTTCATCAAATCTCCTGTTTCAATTAACAGTAGTTTAAGCTTCATTTGTTTTGTTACATAACAGACTTGGCCAATAGGTCAGAGTGTTGGTTAAGATTCCTCAGAGCAGACCCCAAGACAAGAATTTCTGTGCAAGTGATAGTTTCAGGTAGGACTTCCTGAAGAAACTGGTAAGAGTGGAGAAAGTAAGATGAGGAGGAGGAAGAAGCCATGCAAGGGCAATCCCTGACAAAGTCCCTTGGAGGGTAGCTGCAGCCTCAGCTGTGAGTTTAGTCTCAGATTTTGTTTCAGTTGCAGGAATAGTCCCACACCAGTCAACTGTTGACAAATGGCCATCTTAGAGGAAGGCCCTTCTGACTGTTTATCTGAAATTTAAACTTCAGAAGGCACCTTGCACTGTATCTGGCAAGCCTGCACCAAGGCAGTGAGAATGGGTGGTGCCACAATCTGGAAATGGAGGGAAGTTAGACAGGGCTGGCCAGGTATTTCTCCTCCACGCATTTGTGGGTTCTGAAAGTGAAAGTGGTAGATAAGAAGCTGAGAGGCTGAATCCATCTGCGGGAGTCCAGAGCTTGCCAAGAAGAAAGGGGCACTGACTGGGAAGCATGAGGCCTCAATGGACCAATCTGGAAGTGATGGTAAACCAGAAATACACCAATCCTCACAAGGCTGAATCCTGTATCAGAAACCTTGCTATATGTACATTTTGCCCCGACTGGTGTGGCTGAGTGGGTTGGGCATTGTCCCACAAACAGAAAGGTGGCTGGTTTGAGTCCAGTCAGGGCACATGCCTGGGTTGCGGGCCAGGTCCCCAGTTGGGGGCGTGGGAGAGGCAACCGACTCTCTCAAATTGGATGTTTCTCTCCCTCTCTTTCTCCCTCCCTTCCCCTCACTCTAAAAAATAAATAAATAAAAGACTGTAAATAAATAAATGTATGTTTAATATTAATGTGTGGGTTATTTATTATTTTCTATGTACACCATCACATTGTCTGTGAGTAATGACCGAGACAGCCATCAAGTTCTTCTCAGCTGGATTAAACTTTAAACAGGTTTCTTTTGGACTGCAGGCCCCTGGCCTCCCTTTTCTTAGAGTATTTTCTTTAGAAAACTTGCAATTATAAATTATTTCTCCACCCCTTTGAGATGTAAATCTAATCTTCTTCTTAGCCTCTTGACAGTTTTATAACCCAAGAACATCTTTCTCAAGGACATGGAAGCCATCCCTTTGAAATGTAATCATCAAGAGGAATATTGTGAAAACTTTGCATTGAAACAGATGGTTACCAGACTTAGTGGGATCACATCATAAGGTATATAAATGTCAAATCTCTATATTGTACACCTGAAACCAATATAATATTGTATACCAACTATAATTAAATAAATTTTTAAAAATTTTAGTGTTAGAATTCTTATCTCCTAGTCTCTGTTAGTGGGTAGGAGCCTACCTTCAATAAGCACCAGTCAGCCAACACCGATGGCCTAATCACCTTGACCATCCTCCCTGCCAAAGACCTCCACTACTTTTCTGCTAACTCACCCCAGTACTTAAAAATCCTCTGGCCTTTTGTTTTGGCAGAATTCAGTTCAGTCTCACTCCTCTATTTAGTCTTAAATAAAATCTTCCTTGCCTATCCAACTTTCCGGTGCAATTTTTCCTGACAATAATGGCAGTACATATAATACTTGTTAATATTTTTGTCATATTTCACTGGCTTATGGCTATAATCTCCAATACAATACCAACAATGAATACCCGATTTCAGAAGAAAAAATTCAACATTTATTGAAACCCTTTATTAGGAAATTTTATTTCTATTTTTAGTTAGTGAAGTACTTTTTATGAATGATGTTAAATATTACCTAATCTGTGTTTCTGCATCTATTAACATGATTATATGATTTTTCTTTATTTTGTAAATGCAATAAATTATATTGGTTGATTTTTAAATGTAAATCAATGCTTCATTCCCAAAATAAAACTAATTTGGTCATTATGCTATATATTAATATTTTTAGGATTTTTAATATTTTTGCACTATATTTATGAAAACATTGGCCTGAAATTTTCCTTTCCTTGATGTTCTTGCCAGATTTTGGTATCATAATTATGCCAGCTTAATACTGTATGTTGACAGTCTCCCATTCAGAAAACTGCATGTAAAAGTGATATTTCTTCCTTAAATATTTGATAAAATTCACCTAAGAAGTCATCTACATCTGGAGCTTTCTCTCTTAATCCATGCTGTTTTCTTAGCCACACCTCCGTCAACTGATCTTCTTTCCTCCTGCTCTCTTTCAAAGAGAGATGTTTCCTAAGAAGCAACAGACACACTGAGACCTGGAGTCCCAAATTTTTAGCCCAGTGATTGGTTCCTTGGGAATCCCCAGGCTTCAGTGAGGACCCAGCCTGAGGAAAGGGTGTGGCCACACTGGGAGAAGTGGGTGAGGAGGGAGGAGAATTCCAGGAACTGCCTTCCCTCATCCTGCTCCTGTAAGAGGCTGTACCTGCTCTTTCAAGGGTCACACCACACCTCAGAGCCCAAGCCTAGGATCTCCCAGGAAAGGTGTCCTTGTCACAAGCTCTTCCTCCAGTCTGACTCCATGGGAAGGAGGTCTTATCTGAAACCAGGGAAGCTTTTCTGTGGCAGGACTCACAAGACTTAGAGGAGGTATAATTGAAGGAACAGACAAAAGGTAAGAGGATAAGGAATACAGAAATCAGGCAGAGAAGGAGCCAGCCTTGGAATTATAGCCTTGAAGGCCAATGTAAAGTGACTCTCAACCCAGCCACTCTTTAACCTGCAATGGTGGAGTTTCTGCAAGTAGCTGGGGAATCTGGTCAAGGCCATAGAGATCCAGGGCAGGGGGCTGGGGGTGGGGGGAGAGAGATGATAGATAGATGTAGATTTATGGAGAGATATATATGGACTTCATTCATAGGTAGCCCTCAGGGCCTGGGAAAGGAAGGGGAAGGTATGTATTTTGCAATTACTGTCTGGAAATAGTCCAGCCATTGTTAATATAACGAGAACAGTTTGTGGGACATCGATATAACCTGGCAGCCAAGGAGAGTGGACTATTATGCCCATGTGTGAATAACGACAACTTCACTGTACTAGTTAGAGGGGACAGTAGACGCCATTCAGTGAGCATGTGTACTATGTGGCCTTTGAATTCAAAATAACTGAGCAAGAAAAGCAATGAATCTGCATCAAATATTGCATTCAGCTTGAACATTCCTCCATGGAAACTATTCAGATGACCCAGAAGCCGCAGCTATGGGCAACTAGTGATTGGCAACCTCATCACAACAACGTATCTGCTTGCGTGTCATATTTTTTGCAGTTTTTTGACAAAATAGCAAATCACATAGGTGACTAAGCCCCACTACCATCCAAATTTGGCACCCTGTGACTCCTGGCTTTTCCCAAAACTAAAACCACCTTTGAAAGGGGAGAGATTTCAGACCATCAATGAGATTCAGGAAAATATGACAGGGCAGTTGATGGCAATTGGGACAACTGCGTAAGATCCAAAGGCACCTACTTTGAAAGGGACTGAGGCGTCATTGTTCTATGCACAATGTTTCTCATACCTTGCATCTTCTTCAATAAGTGTCACTATTTTTCATATTACTTGGCTGAATTCCTTCTGGGCAGACCACATATATATGGATATATTCCTATATGTATTTATTTAGAGAGAAAGGATCTTCTTAGAGAACTTAACCTTTTCTTTCTAACACATATATTTTACCCATATGTTGCTCACATAATGTAATTTTATAAGAATAAAAATTTGATTATTACTTGATGCACCTGAATAAGTACTGAGTACGTCCTGCCAAGATACAATGCCAATGAAACTATCAGATGTTCCAAACACCTCCCAAGTGCTCCACACCTGAGCAGCTCCCCAAGTGCCCTTCCAAGCACCCATTCTTATGTCATCTCTGTGTCCAGCTGTGGCTCCAGCTCTGGGGGCAACTGCTGCCTGAGTGGACCTTGGCCCTGCAACCCCATATTGTTGCCAGAGCTCCACTGGCATGGCAGCGCAGTGATCAGTGGCTGGGCACTCTGGCTGTTGCCAAAGGCACTGCTGATCTGGGCCTTTGCCCTTTGACACCCTTTGCCCTCAGACAGCCATCCTGAGCAGAGCACTGGCACACAGCTCAAGCCCGGCTGCCTTTGCTGGTTTCCATTGTCCCATCGCACACCGAGCACATGGGCTGGCTTCATGCTGCTGGTTTGCTCTGCACTGCCCATCCTTTCCTCCCGTCACAGCAGGTACAGAGGACACATACAACCTCATAGCCTAAGCAAGGATCGAAAGGTTCATCTCTCTTTCTGGCAGACTCCTCTAACCTCGACAAGTGGTCCTCTTGAACCTCTTCACTTGGCTGAATGGGGGAAAAGATGCTGCTCCTTTTCCCTGGGGGAGGAGAAGAAAAATGCCACACACTTTTCCCCTAAAATGATGACCCACTGTATGACAATTTCCTCTATTCCTAGTCTCCCTTCTATGGAGGCTGGAATGTGGGTGGGGGGCGGGGCAGTGAAGGCTATACCTGTATATGTTGTTTTTGGAAGAAGAGGCACTTTGGCTCCCATTGTTTTCAGTTTTGGGGGACCTAGTCAAAATCTTTATAGAACAGTTTATGGTTTTATTTTAAAAAATCCTTTTAGAGCTTGATTCAATCAGTTTTCAGTAGAAATGAGCCAGTACTCATATAAAGGAAGTAGGACCCAGGGAAAAACAAAAAACAAAGGAAAAAATCATCCTTAAATTGGAAGCCAAGGAAGATTTCCAGACTCCCTCATTCCACCATGCCTATAAATATTTTAACTGCATTCATAAGATACAGATGGTCTTGGTGGTGGTGGGGAAGATTTGAACTAGGAAGGGAATGACTGACTAGGGAAAAAGAATTCCTCACGTGTTTGCACAGTCTTTGGTTGGTTAATTAGTTTGTCACTGATGCATCTTGGTCAAAATGCTCTTCCTGTAATTAAATATACCATGTGTGCTCTAATTCAATAGTCCATTTAACAAAGACAACTAAGTGGCTGGAAGGGGCATTAAAAAAAATTTACAATTCTGCATTGCATTTTTTATTATACTAGTCAGCATAACCAGATGGTAAACTTTTCCAAAAGTTCAATCAGCAGTCAGCTAAATCAGGTTCCATCTTGACTATGGTTCCACAGGACCCCAGGGACCGCAGAGCGTCAGGACCACTAAGGATGAATCCCATGTGTGTTCCATCCTGATGCTCTGGAAGAGAATTGTTGAGGAGTCACTCTTCTGTCAGCACAGGGCATCTGCCTGTCTGCCAGTCTCTGACTCTGATGACCAAAGGGACAGGCTCTAAAGTGGGAATTATGATTCAACTTCTCCAGAATGAAAAGATGGGAGGAAATTGGCATTAAAACATCACATAGGGTATAAAGGATAAGATTAGGGAAGTGACCCAGAAATCCATTTGCATTTCAAAAAAACAACTCCTCTGAGTATCTCTGAGATGCTTTAATACCCTGGCTCTTGACCAATTTATGTGATTTGTATTATGCCCTGATTCTTGCCTGCCAAAGACCCAAAGATAGCCTGAGTTCAGACTGAAAGAGGTCTGTGTTTGTTTCTGAAAAACTATGGATGGTGGGGGGGAAAAATGTGTAAAAAATGTGTAAAAATATGTAAAAGAAGCTCCTGGAGCTTTCTGAGCTCCAGGCTAGGTTAGTCCCCCTCCCCCCACAAAGGAGCTGCATTTCCCCTTTGGGAATGTTTGTCACTGTTGTGTTTAATGCTTGTCCTGCTTGCTAGTTTCTATGCTCTCTGAGGACAGAGCCGTGTCTCTCTCCTTCACTGCTGGATCCTTGATGCTAAGTACAGTGTCTGGTGTAGAGCGGATGCCCAAAACATAGTTTTTCAATAAACAAATATGGGAATAGATGAGTAAAAACAATTCCAGGTCAGAAAGCAGGAGAAAGCTCAAGCCAAATTCTCAGATTTGTGTAACATAAGGCAAGGACAGGGTTGGCAGAAGGTGCGGGGTTCCCTGACCGCACCCCTTCCCTAGTGCTGACCGGTCCTACGAGCCATTTTCTCATGCCCAGCTGCACCAGCAAAGTTGCAGGGGCCATGTGAACACAACTATGTTTTCTTCCACTCTCTTCAGCCACACCACCCAGTCTGGCATTTAAGAAGTGCCCATTTTCATCCTTTGTAATTGTCTTATTTTATTACACTATCTCCATAACAGGGTGAAGGGTTAGGGGTAGAAACTTGATTATAAGGGCAGTATTGCTCCCAGATTAGCTCTGAGGCTAAATCAGAACACAGCACCTCATTGTGCACACAGGAAGGAGTATGATCCTGAGAACATGCATCCCGATCCAACTTTTCACCAGCTCACCCACCCATAACTCCTCCCTTCATAATGCTACAGAGTTCCTTAAAAGAGCGCATGATCACAATTGTTCAAAACAGAGTGATAGGTAGAAGGGAAGAAGGAACTAACATCCTCCCACAATGTATTTTGTGCTGAAGAACAAGTATCTGATCCTACAGACCTTTGTATACTCTGATCAAAATACTGTTTGTTTAAAAAAGAATTAGAGCCCTGGCTGGTGCGGCTCAGTGGATCGAGCACCGGCCTGCAAACCAAAAGGTTGCCAGTTCACCCAGTCCCAGCACATGCCTAGGTTGCTGGCCTGGTCCCCAGTAGGGGGTGCATGAGAGGCAACCACACATTGTTTCTCTCCCTCTCTTTCTCCCTCCCTTCTCCTCTCTAAAAATAAAATCTTTTTTTTTTTTTTTTTAATTAGAGTATATCCTTTCCACGAGGCAGCCATTGAGGAGCAGCAGGCAGGGCTTTGTCCTGCCCCACGGCCCTGAGCCTCAGCAAGGGCCACAAGGTGAGCAAGCTACGCTCTCAGCACAGCCCCAGCAGAGGGCGCCTCACCAAGTGCACCAAGTCTGCAGGATTGATCCCAGAGGTGTGTGCGTTTGTCCCCCATGAACGGCGCACCATGGAACTGCTCAAGGTCTCTAAGGACAAGGGGATCCTGCAAGTCTTCAAGAAAAGGGTGGGAACACATATCCACAATAGCAGCGAGAGGCGGGGAAGCAGGGGGGCGAGATGGAGAGGGAGAGGGAGAGGGAGGGAGGGAGGGAGGGAGGGAGCGCACGCGCTGAGCAATGTCTTACAGCCATAAGGGAGGAAACAGCCTCGGATTGAGCTCCATCCCCTCAGTGTGTAATAAAACCTGTTCAGAAAAAAAAAAGAATTACAATATAACTTAAATTCTTGACTATATAAACTTAATACCATCTAAGTTGTGATTAGTTTCTTTAGAAACATACTTTTAAAAATTTGTCACAGTGTTTGGAGGTTATAACATATTATTACAGAAGAATTTAATGATGAATTTATCACTAATATAATGAAATCCAAATGGGAAATAATATTCAATTTATACAAATTCACCATATACAAACCTCAAGCGTTATCACAGTTACTCAGTAAGTGGAATGCATACAACCCCATCAACCTCATCATCAACCACAAAATCTTTATTGACATAATAAAAAGAATTAGAGTCAGCCTCACACATCCCACAAACAGCCACAAACAGATACCTTTTGTTTTTCATTATTCTGATTTCCGTTAGACCCACAGATGGAGGTCATATTTTTGTTACAGCAGGCAGAGTTAGAATATTAACAAGGCAGAAAGGAGCCAGGCTTCTAATTAAGCCAGATTAACTAGAAAACAGCTTAACAGCCACTCCAGGGAACACTGGCATCATTTAACGTCCAAGTACACAGGAAAGACCAATTTCCAATCTCCCCAGAGAACATCCTGCAGGTTCCCCAGAGTAACCGGTGGGGGAGAGAAACAGTGAGAGGGAAAGTCCTTTATTGGGCGCACACACAAGAGGAGCCAGATGACGAAGCAGAACTATGAGGCATGCGCAGTAAGAGCCAAAATGACGACCATAAGGGGAGGGGCCCAGCCTCGCAAAAGGATAGGACAGCATTGGGGCGTAAAACCATAGAGGGCCTAGGAAAGAGGTTGGATGGGGGGAGGACACAGGCACAAACCTTTGAAAAACCAGGAACGAGGTTGGACAGTTTGAAAGAAGCCTTAGTCTATCCCAAACCCAAGGGAAAAAAGAGAAGCTTAACAAAGTCCCAAGCCTCTCATCGAGCTTTGGCCGGGGCCATGCAGGTGGAAGCAGACGGGGAAATGAGACAGAGAAGTTCTGCATCTCTCCGTCCCGACCTTCCTGGGCCTGGTGGGCGCAGGTGCAGACCGGAGGCCCCCAAAAGCTACAGTTCTGCCAGGAGACAGAGCTGAACTGCCTGGCCATGAGTGGGGCATTGCCTAAGCCCCTCCTTTGTTTTTGCTCCAATAAATCTTACCACTCCAGCCCAAATCCTCCTATGTGTATATCCCTGAAGTTGGTCCTGCGGTACACGGAACGAACCTGGTTCCTCTGCTAACATTTTGACATCATCTGCTCCTCCACCAAGACTCCTTCAGCTCCACTCTCCTCCCACCCAGAACCCATGCTTCATTAGAGGAGCCACGAGGTTCTGTTTAGGATGCTGCCAGTCAAGCCATGGTCCCAGCTCTATTCTTCCACTCCTTACTCATTCATTTCCAAGCTCCAGTTAGCTCAGCTTCCAGTTAGCTCCCTAAAACAGGAGCTAACTATTTCATCCCCTTTAGGGAGTCTACAGAGTGGAGGGCTGACACCCAGAGTGGCCTCGGAGCTGATGACTTTGCACATACTTGTGCTGCATCACTTAGCACACAGGATCTTCTTGTCCATCAGTCTCTCTGAGATGCTAGTCAAGGGCAGTTCTATTTGTTCCGCTGTTATAAGGGCCCACAAAGGATATATCCTGAAAGCAGGGCATGTGAGCTGAAAGAATAAATAAAAATGGAATGGCAGCCAGTGGGCTTGAGCCATGAATAATGGATTGTCATGGAGATTTTCTGCTTCCCTACTGTCATTCCTCAAAGTCTGTGCCTAAGAAATGCTGAAAGCCTGGTCCTGGAAGTATGTGGTACTGTCACTTTGGGTTGAGAATGAGTACACGTACTCGAGTTACGCATCATAAAACTCAGCATAAAAGGGCACTGGCCCTGGCTGGGCTCCTCCGTCCACAGTCGCCCAGCAACAGCCTTCGCCAGCCTCCACAGAATCAGGTGAGTGTCCAGCTGGGGAAAGATCCTGAATTGAAGGGGCTGAGCAGACGTGCCTGTGCTTCAGCAAGGAGAAGGGAGTAGGAAGACAGGATGGAGGTGGCAGAAAGAGGCCCATGGTGGGCAGCAGGGGAGGGGGAAGGGCAGGATTAAGAGAAAGAAGAGTTCACAGCCATGCCAGGGGTTCTGCGATACAGTGGACCTCAGGATCTCTTCTCAGTCATGCACTTGTGTCCTCCCTACACCCTCAGTGATTTTAACCCTCCTCTCATGTGTCCACAGAGATGAGAAGTCCTGGAGAGTGGTGGGGAGTTGTGGGTTGTGTGCATTGACTACCTACCGGGAATGCCATTCATGCTGGGTCTGTGTGACGGGCCTTCTGTGCGGTTGTGTGCAGTGGCCCTGGAGACCAGCCTACAAGTCTGTCAGCTTTCTTCCCTGGTAGAACAGTTAACAGAAAAAAGGACAGCTTATTAAGCCAATTTAACTCTAAATCCATTTCCATTTCTCTTCTCTTGATCTTGACTTGAGGAAAAACTGATAGTGGAAGAAAGGATCTACAGTAAAATGAGGATACATTGGCCTGAAACCTCTGCATTGTCATGCACTTTGTTTTTATTTTGCCCAGGCTCACTCACCTGCTGCCAGCAGAACCAGCAGCAATGCCAGCCCCCTCCCAAGTGCCCCCCAAAGAGCCCAGCTCAGTGCTCTCCCCCAACTCCCTCTGGCTGCGTTCTTGACTCTAGAGGCAACTGTGGCCCCAGCTCCGAGGGCGGCTGCTGCCTGAGCCACCACCAGCACTGCCGCAGGTCCCACCGATGCTGGTACCAGAGCTCCTGTGACAGTGGCAGTGGTCAGCAGCCCAGGGACTCCGGCTGTGGCCATGGTTCCGATGACTGTTGTTGACCTGGCTCATGAGATTAAGTAAAAACATCTGTAATCTTGTTACCATCCCCCGCTTTCCTGCTGAGATTTTCTTTGGAGATTTCCAAGTGCTCCCCAGAAGGTTTATTGTGCTGGTGTCCAGGAGCTCAATGCTTTCCCTCTCCGTCTCTATGTCCCTATAAAAATAATAATAAAGATTTCTCTCCCATTGCAACCTTCGTCTAACGTGTCCATGTCTTTGTCCCACCCCAGGGTGCCCAGCATTGGGCACAGAATCCTGTCTCAGGAACAGAAATGTAGCACCTCATACTCCACACAACTCACAAAGAGCCTTAGGGGGCATTTGTGTTACGATGGAGGTGGGGAAGGGAGAGGTATTGGTGGGACAGATAAGTGTGTTTTGAGTTTTTCTGTGTGAAATGAGGGATATGATCTGATACTGCATCAGGGTGTGCTCATGGAGTTCTTGTAAGAACATTGTCCTGAGCTCCCCAGCTGAATGACAGGGGTGAGAAGGACAGAGAGCGGAAAGTGGACCAGGAAGCACAAATCCAAGGAGGATGGAGGAAAATATTAAGCCAGCCATCAAAGGAAGACTGAGAAAGAGAGGAGAGGATGTAGAGCACAGCAAGTGAAGAACCTGAAACCAGGGTGGGAGGAGGAGGCAGGGAGACAAGAGTGGGACAGTGGTCTGTGCAAAGGTGCAGGACTGAGAGCCCACACCAGTGCCAGAGGAGCACTGCGGGGTGGGGGGTGGGGGGAGGTAATGTGAGGCAGCCAAGATGCCCAGTGACTGCAGGATCCTGCTCACATCAGGGTCAGAACACACCAGGCCCTTCCCTGACCATTTCGGACTTTTCACCAGACTCAGTTTCCAGAGATTCTCTTTGAGTACAAAAAAAAACCTACTTCCCCCCTCATCGGTCCTGTGGCCCCGTCACATGCAGCTCAGGGCTGTTCTCTGGGGAGGAAGAAGGGTTAATCCCTGGGTCGCCTGGAAAGGAGAGGGTGGGTAGTGAAGCGGTACTAATGCAACCTGCAGTCAAATGGAGCTCCGTCTGTAAAAATCTTTATATTCCACAAAGTCGGAGACTGGGGCTTGAGTTGGGAGTAACATAGAGTACTGTAAAGCAAAGGGAATGGGATTCACGAGCCAGTTCAGATACTTCAGAAGCTCAGCCCTAAGTGGGGCAGAGAAGGAAAGAGGAGGAGAAGCACCAGACTAGGGCAGATCCTTGCCCCTTTGGTTCTCCAGTCCTGATGTCCTGTGTTCCCCATGAGTCAGGACAACAGCAACCCCTGCCCCACCCCCGCCCCACACCAGAGCTGTGGCAGCAACTGGGGCCCCCAGAATGCTGTGACTGTGGTATCAGTGGACTCAGTGGGCTCCATGGTGGCTCAAGTAGCAGCTTCTCCCAACAGAAAGAGAAATGGCAGCAAAAAATTTAAAGGATACTTGAGTGTTAGGTAATTGGGAGGAGGCTGACACTGCCTTTGGCTTTTCCTGGCAGGACATCTCAGCTCAGTGATACTGGAGGAAATAAAGTAAAACATTGCAGAACATCTCTATCTCTATCTCTATCTCTATCTCTATCTATCTATCTCTAATATATCTATGTCTGTCTATCCTGTCCTCTTGCCCCTTTACCATCTATTACAGATCCTGCTCCCATGACCCTCAGCCCACAGTTTAGGTAACTAAAGGTAGTGGGAAAACAGAGAGGGCCTTGGGCAGAGATGACCTGACTCAAGAAGATTGCAGATCAACCCCCAAATTTTCTCCTTTCCTCCTTTGACTTATAGTCAGGAAGAAATGATGGGACATGGAGAGCACTAACAATGAAGGGTTAAATCTGAGTAGCAGATCTTTAAACTCTCTAGCCTCAGACCTTCAAAATTTCCTCAGTGGATATCCAGATACTTTTTTCTGATAGAAATTCCTAAATTGCCCAAATATGTGGCCCTGACTCTCAGGATTTTTGAAGCTAGTTGTTTATACTTTTTCTTTTGTTCATTCATTCACTCATTCATCCAAACGACATCAATTGAGGGCAAATCTCAGAAATGTGTTCAGCACAGAGTTTAGAAATGTATAAAACATGGTTTCCATCCTTGAGAATTTATAGTGTAGCAAATGTAGTAGAGACTGACAAGTAATTAAATTATTATGAGCAGGAGTGGTGCCTGCTCGAATGTCAGTGTGCAGGAAATCCATGGGAGTGGACTTTTTAAAAATTTTCATTATATTTTATATAAAATAGACATTTACATAAATTTTATTCTGTGACAGTGGCAGTGGGCTAATTGTACATAATCAGAATTACATGCAAGAAATAATCTGTAGAAGATATATTTCTAAATGACAAAGCAAAAGTGACAAAAATGTGCATTTATATACAACTGATCAAAGTAGGAGATAAAAGCATTATGAACAAAGAACATGATGCAAGTCATTTCCCCCTGAAAAAAAGGAGGGATTGGTGTGAATTACAGCAAGTCAAACGATATCCACATTAGAAAAGCAAGCCATGGCCTTTACAGATATTTTAATTCCTTAGGAGGAAATTAGTCAGAGTTATGCAAACAGTTCAGACAGATATGCTTATGTCCCATTAACCAGAGAACTTTGGGGGAAGGTGGAGATGAGATCTGAATGATAACTGATTGGAGCAATAATGATCAATTACAGTGGCAACTGATTTAGCTTCACCAATGTCTCTGGTAGATATGTATAAGTTATATAGTATTTCCCCTTACATTTTATTTCAGTTTTTAGAATGATACAAAAATTTAAGGTGACATGTAAATAACATATTTTGACAAGATATTATCGTAATAATAATTTTGAACATTCTAGTTACATGAAGGCTGTAGTAGCAGCCGTTCTCTTCAAAGCTTGAATATGCTACAACCATGGCCAAAATTTGAGTCTTTTCAAAACACTGTGAGAACATAAATTTATGTTGGGGCTTCAGGAATAGGTAGAATGAACTGGAAAGGGGATGAAGAAAGTGGTCAATGTCCCCACCATGATGGTTATAAAACATGCCTCAAAATTCTTTGACATGGCCCCTCATTGAGAGATGGTAGTCTATATTCCCTCCTCTAGAATCGGCAGGCTTGTGGCTGCTTGACCCATAGAATATGGCAGAAATGATGCTTTGTGATTTCTGAGGCCAAGTCACAAAAGGTCAGGTAGATCTCATCTGGTCCTCTTGGGAAGCTCTCTCTAAGGGAAGCCAGGAACCATGTAAGAAATCTCAGGACTACTCTGCGACCATTATTCCAGAGAGACCAGGTGTAGATGAAACTGTAGAGCCCCCAGCTGACAGCCAGCATCAACAACCACTATCTGAGTGAGTCTTCTGGGATGTCCAGCCCAGTCAACCCTTCTGGTGATTGAAGCTCCAGCTGACTTCTGATCGCAAATTCACGGAAGACTCAAACAAGAATTGCCCACCGGAGCCCTTTCTGAATTCATGAGTTACAAAATTGCGAGAAAACTAAAATAGTTGCTTTGCACCAACTTTAATGTGATTTTTTAGGTAACAGTAGTAACCAAGACACTCATTACTTTTCTCCCATTAGAAATTTATCCTCCCTCTGAAGTTTTTGGCTTTGCTGAGGAACCAGCAGTCACTAGATTCCCTTGTGAATCCCCACAAAATCAACCATTTATATGTCTTAAATTCTGCCTATGCTGGGTTTATCCTACCTACACTGGTGCCCATCACACACCAAGTGATGAGAATCCAGTTATCTATTCGGTCCACTTAAAACAATGGAAGATCATCTCTCACAGTTCTGGAAGCTAAGAAGTGGAACATCAAGGTGCCAGCTGATTCAGTGTCTGGGGAGGGCCTGCTTTCTAGATGGCAGTAGTTTCATTGTAAGCTCACATAATATAAGGGACCTTTCTGGGGTCTCTTCTAAGGGCATTAATCCCATTTGCAACAGTTCCAACTTATAACTTAATCAACTCCCAAAGGCTCTATTTTCTAATACCATCCTTTTGGAGATTAAGATTTCAACATATAGATTTGGGATGGGAGGGGACATAAATCTTCAGACCATAGCACAAATGAATTCAGAGCAAGCAAATATAAGTCCCTGCCTAGAAAGTGCCTACTTGGATGTCATCACCAAGTGAGGAGGAACTAAGTCTAGTTCCCATTGAATCCCCACTGCCTTGGATGGCACCTGGCACACAAGATGTGCTCAACAAATATATGTGTTATGAATGACTGAATAAAGAGTTAATGAGTCCCAAGATGCTTCCTAGTCAAATACAGAGAACCAATTTTTCCTTCACACACTGGGACCTCACATGCTGGGAACCACATCTACTGTCAGAACCATAGCTAATTATTTCTGACTTCCTGTGATTGTCCTGGTATCTCAGGCCTGCACTTGGCCAATAGCATGAATCCTGATGATACTTTGTGGTTAGGGGCTTAAATTTGACCTAAGTACTTCTGAACCCCAAGCTTTGTTCTTGAGTTTTCATATTAAAAGACAAATAATAAAAGCTAACATTTAAGTAATGCATACTATTTTTTGATTCCAAAACTGCCCCAAATCTGTGGTGTCTTCAGGGAACCCCGTCTCAGGAAGGTTAGTGATTTTACTACCGGTAGAACACTGTCTCTTACAGGTGGAAACTGGGTTCCTGTAGAATCTAAAGAAAAAGAATTTCCTGAGGCCCGCATGGGAGGATGTGGCCTTGTGGTATGGGTTATTGATGATGTAAATTAAGGGCGTTCCCCTCCTTGCTTCTCAGTGTCCCATCTCCATCCATCTCACCATGGGAAAAGTCCAATTTTGTTTTCAGCAGTGCCAGGATGAAGACCACTGCCCAGAGTTTATGGTCCATATCAAGGTTCAGTCCAGTCCAGCATCTGGCTAGCTTAGCAAGGGTTTCCACTTGTAGTCCATTCCAGATTCCCTTCTGGAACCTGTATGTGGAGTTGCACGGCCACGGGCCATGTGACTGTTAGGGTCACATGCCACAGAAAGAAGAG